ATGTGGGCGGGGGGGTTTGGTGGGCCCCCCCCCCCCCCCGTTCTTCCTCCGCCACCCCTCCAGGCCACAGCCACCGTGTTTGTGCAAAAAACACGCACTCCCCGGGCCCTTCCCGGCCCAGGAGCCCCTACCTTCATCCGCTCATCGGCATTCACTTTGCTGCCCTGGATCAGCTCAATGCAGAAAGGCTGCTCCAGGGACCACAGGGACACCGAGGCGGGCTGGGCGGGGTGAAGGGGAGAAGCAGGGGCGTTAAAGCAGGGGAATTCAGGGGAGGCTTGCGCTCCCGGCCGCTGCCAGGGCGCGTGGCCACCAGGGCGGCAAGGGTGTTGCAGGTTCCTGCCCGCAATGCCATCCTTTACCAGGAAACCTGCCGTGCAGGCGCCCCAGGGGGCCCAAGACCCCCGAGCGCTGCAGGGCATGGAGTTCTGCCTACAGCACGGGAGACAGAAGGGGCAGGCGGCCAAGTGCCAGGCCTGGAGGCTGCCCCGGGTGTCCAGACGGGAGTCCACCCCAGCCCAGAGGCCCACCTCTCAACCCCGAGCAGTCAGAAGGCATGAGACCAGGGGCCCCTGGACCTATGGCTGGCCCAGGGCGATGCCCACTAGGCGCCAGGCTGGGCCTCAGGCGGGGGCAGCGCCGCAGCGGAGGTGAGCGGGGCGCCAGCTCACCTTCTTCAGAGGAACGGGGGGCGGCCTGGCGCGTGGCTTTTGGGCTTGGGGGGCGGGGTTGCTCTGCTCGTCCCGCATGGCGAGGATGGAAGAGGAGTGCACCATGGTCAGGTGGGGGGTCAGCCCGCTGTGCAGGCAGCTGCAGATGTACTGAGATGGGGGGCGGGGTGAGTGGCTCCACTGTTCCCTGGACGACCAGCTACCCAGGGATGCCCCACGCTGGCCCCTGCCCACGCCAGGCCTTCCAGGGCCTCTGCTGCTGGCCCTTCCCGCCCCCGCCCACCTCCCTGTGCTCGCGGGGAGAGTCAGCCCAGCAAGCGCGCGCTCTCACTGTGACCCCCAAGGTCTGGCTTGTCGGGCTCGAGAGGGGCTGAGGACCAGCTCCCCCCGCCGCTGCCCCAACCCAGGCCCCAGGCCAGGACTGCAGGGAACCCAGGAGCCCCTCCTGGACCCCAGGCCTCACCTGGAACTGGCAGAGGGGGTGGCTGCCGTACAGGTACTCCTGCTTCCCGTTCACCCGCAGCGTGTAGCCCTCGGGCTGCTCTACCAGCGGCTGCCGGAACACCGTGGCCCTCTTCCGGAGCGCACAGGCCATCAGTGCCAGGGGCACATCCTTGGTGGACACCTGGAAGGTGAAGCTCTCCTAGGGGGAGGAGGGAGGGTCAGTCCTCCATGCCCGCGAAGAGCCCACGGGGCTCTGGGGCACAGGGGGTGGGCTGGCCCATCTGCAAGTATTAGGCGCCCCCCGAGCCCTGAATGTGAGCTCCACGACGGCAGGCTCTGATGATGGCACGTGGCCGACACCAGGAAATACCTGTTGGATGCGTGAGTGGACCGAGGACCAAAGCCTCTTGGTCACTCTGCCTTGTGGAACTCGCCGGGTGGGACGTTCGGCCAAGCCCCTCGTATGCAATGGATACCCTACAAATGCCACCCGATGTTGCTGGCAGGAGGAGGAACTGGGGAGGCTGGTGGGTGCCCAGGAGTCTCACAGGGGAGGACACGGCAGCCTGCATGCAGCACACGGGCCGGCGTGAGCGACCGCTCACCTCGCTGCCCTCGAACTTGACGTTGACGAGCAGGGCCCGGTTGGGGACGCGCAGGGTGCCCGGCCCCCAGCTCCGCGCCGAGGGCTCCAGCTGCAGGGGGAAGCTGTACTGCAGCCAGGCCTCCCAGCCCAGCTGCTGCCGGTGCGCGGCCACCTCCTCGCAGAACTGGCACATCTTGGCTCGGAATTCATTCACCTCCGGGTCTTGCAAGGAGTCAAACTCGTGGAGGCCTGAGGGGCAGGGGAGCCGGGTCAGCGTGGGGCTCGGGGGCGGGGCGGGGCGGGGGCGGGGGGCAGGTCCAGCGGAGGTGGGACGGCCTGGCCTCGGCAGGGCACCTTTGCCGATGAGCAAGCTGATCTGCGAGTTGATGAGCTTTTTCACGCGGTCACCCTCGCGGGCCACCAGGCGCAGGACGGGCAGGAAGGGCTGGGTGGCGCACCAACGCCCCCGGCCCTC